GCGTTTGTCTTCTCAACAGTATTAAAGGGGTCAAGGGGCTGGACCCAGACCACCTCTGGGAACTTGGTCTGGCCCGTGACCCCTGTGGAATAAAGTAATGTGACGCTGCCGGTGTCCCTTGTCCCTGCGCCTGGGTGACCCCGCTGCTGGGCTGGGATGGTGGGGGCTCTTGGTGCCATGGGCTGGAGCAGGCAGAGCCCAGGGCAGTGGCAGGAGGGAGGGGGTGATGCTCCCTCCGGCATCCCTGGGGAAGCTGTTGCCGTGGTCCTGAGCAGGACATGGGTGATGTCCCAGGGTTGGGATGTGGTACTTCCCCCCCTGGGCCAAGCCAGCATCCCTCCTGCTGCCCCCCCAGCCCTGCTGCTGGGGGCAGCCAGCCCTGGGGCATGCAGGCACTGTCGTCCTCCCAGGGACAGGACGAGCCCCCCTGTACGGGGACACCCGGGGGGACCCTGCCCGAAGAAGCGAGGACTGTTGCCAGGCTCAAGGCTGCACGCTCAAGGGCAGGCGCGGCGGCTCAAGCGCAAGGCCACGGCGCAGTAAAATCAAGAGAGCGCGCGTGTGTGTGTGTGTGTGTCCCATCTCAAACCTCCCCTCTCCCTTACGAACCTCTCCTGGGGGACATTAGCCGGACTAGGACCTGGGTCCGAGGCAGCGTTCTTCTCCTCCTGGAGCAGGTCCAGGGCACAGCAGCCACGTTGCTCCTGCAAACCAAGCTGCGAGCCTCGGAAACATCTCCCTGTGTTTGGCAGAGAGTGACTGCCTCGTGATGTCAGTGCTGCCAGGGCAGCGTCTGCCTGTCCCCATGGTGTCTAGAAGATGTCCAGGCAGGAACATGCCACCTCCTGGCTCATGCCATGCCCAGGCACAGACCGAAACCCACACTGGGTGCTGGCTGCGATGCTCCCGGCAGGTGCCCGAGGGTGGGCACCATTGCTGAGCATCTCCCTCTGCCAGCTGCAACGCTTTGGGCACCATCACCCATGGCAGAGGCATTCAGGAGTGACGTCACGTCATCCATCAGGGCAGCTCCACCTCGGTGCTGCCCCAGTGCTACCTCCAGCCCCGAATCCCGCGCAGCAGGTCTCTGCGGCTTTCAAGGAATGAAGTAAAACTCCTTCATCCCAGCTAACCTCTGCCCAGGGTTGTCCCTCTCCCACCACGCTGGATGTGCCGTGGCCTTGGAGGAGCTGGGCAGTGCTGTCCCACCTGAGCTTGTGAAGAGCCTGCGATGGTCCTAGGTGGGTTTGGGGACAGTGGGATGCCATGCCAAGAGCTGCGGGTGTCCCAGAGGTGCCCCAAGACGTGGTCTGGCTCTCCGCCACTCTGGGTGCTTGACTTGGGTCCCCAAAGAGAGGATTAAGAGGTCACACTGAGCCACTGGGATGCACAGTGGGAAGGAGAAAGGAGTAGGAAACCATCTTCCTGACCCCCTGCACCTGCCCCAGGTACCCAAAGTGACATTATTCACGTGACAGCCCCTGGACTTTTGCTCCTGAGGGCTTGCTGGGGGAAACTGAGGCACAGTGCCAGGGAATGCCCCCTTCCCTCCCCCCCCCCAAGTGGTCTGGCGGCGCTTGGGGTGGCTGTGTCCTCAGCGAAGGTCTCCACCAACCCCTGTTTATTTCTTTCCAGCCGGGTATTTTTGCAGCCTTGGTGATATTTCCAGGATCCCCGGCCGGGCTCCGGGCACACACTGCCCTTGAGCGGCGCCTGAAGTGCTTGGCTTGGCTGCGGCACAAGTGGCTGATGCCAAAAATACACGGGGCAGGCGCGGCCACCCCTCCCCGGGAAGGAGACGGGGGTGGTGGGATGCCGGGGCCTCCTCCGCCAGCAGAGG